ACTGTTTAAATATCTTCACTGTAAATATGTATGAAGGTGAACAAAGGTTAAAAACCTAAAAATGTGACATATTAGGTTAAACCATTTTTATGACTGTTCATAGACTGTATAATGGCTTAACATTCTTCTACTCATTAGAGCTAATATACTGGATTCCCAGAGGCCTGTTCTTTCAGAACAGGTGCTGAGTGTTAAAACAACAGCAATCAATAGAAATTAACAGCAAAGTGTTAGAACAAGATTTATTATCTTCTTAGTAATAGTGTATTTGGTTTAGATATGGATTTATTTTTACTTTCCTTTTTGACATGCATGTCTTTTGAAAACATGGTTGGAAATATCGCATGTATACAATTGATTTAATAATACTTACAAGCGGAAAAATATCACAAAAAGTCTCTTCTCTCATCATGGGCACTTGTTCCAAATATCCTCTCTTTTTTTCTCAATCTCACCTCAATTGACTTTGGGGTCATTTACCATATTCTAACCACTTCACAAAGGTTGTTGATACATTTTTAATAAAAATTAACCCTTTTGTAGTTCATTTTTAGAATTATGCCCATCCTTAAAAGAAAAACACAAACTTAAGTAGAGAGTAATTTAAACAAAAGCATCACTGTTAAGTTCATGCCCAATGCACTCATTTAGTTCAATTATTGATCAGATCAACAGTTCACCTTGTTGCCAGACTCTCTGGAGCTCTTCGTTTCCTCTTGAGTGAATCCATGTTTTCTGAAAGTACTGGGAGAAATATCTATCCTCCTAAAAATAAAGCAGAGAATGAAGCTATTACAGCGTTCCCATAAACAGTATTCTAAAATCTCCTAATCCTGATAATTGTTTTAAAACAATTAAGTTTCTCCATTATACTGCTTTTTAAAGCAAAGTTGGCAGGCCATTATTCCATGAAAATGACAGGCTGTACACACAGAACCACACACAATCCTGATAGACCGTAACAAGTGCATTATGTTTGATGAACTGATCATAGTGTCAGAGGGGCAGCTGTGTAAATCTGTAACTAAAAAAACCTTAAATAATGGTCCTGTAGCACCTTAGAGACTAACAAAAATATATAAATAGTTTCATGAGCTTTTGTGGGCACAACCCACTTCTTCAGAAGCGGACTGTGCCCACAAAAGCTCATGATACTATTTTTGTTAGTCTCTAAGGTGCTACAGGATCATGATCCTAGCATGTTAAAGACCCTTGTAATATGGTTTTCTTACCCATGATTGGCTGGGCAGCTGCTGAGCATACTGTGCTGACCCCCACAAATCACAGGGCTCTTGTATAGTATTTCATTGACTACTTCAATGGCAAAGCACAATAGCTCCAAAGAAACAGTTATCTAGCAAATTATAAATATGGCGTACCTCTTTGCCATTGAATATTCTAATCAAAAAAGATATTGGCAAACTGATTTGATCAGAAAATCCAGTGACACTTCTCTGTGCCTAGATAATAAAATGGATGATTACACATACAAGGCAAACAATACTTAGGCAAAAACTTAGGTAAGGACTATTTTAAAATGATAATTTCATATAATTTGGGAATAGCCATGTCAGAGGCACTACTGTAGATTTAAAATTGTCCGCATGACAAGACTAAACAAGGGGACATTCAATAAAACTGAAAGAGGAGAAATGTAAAGGTGATGAGAGGAAAAACGATGTGAGGATTTTTTAAGGACTAATGAATCTGTGGAACTCACTTCCTCAAGCTAGTAGCCTGGTGTTAGTATGATTCAAAGATTATTAGATTTTTTTTTTACATGAACATGCAATTACATTAGACAATTTGATAAGGGACATAATTATGCTTCGGAGTATAAACCATTCAACTAAAAGGCAAAACCTAAGAACAACCTTTCCTGAGTCAGATTATTCCACAGTTGTCCATACAAGGTTTTTTTTATACCTTCCTCTGAAACAGGGAATGGAAATCAAACCAGATCCAACTTTTGTACTGGTGGGTGACTCCTCTCACATAGCAAGCCTCTGGGTGTACCCTCCCCAAACATATAACAAATGTTTTTTTAATTTAATAAACCATCATAAATACTGGAGGCAAAGTGGGTTTTGGGGTGATGCTCACAACCCCTCATGTAGTAACCTTGCAACCCCATGAGGGGTCCCAACCTCTGAACTAGACAAATCATTGTCCTGTCCCAGGACTCAGTATGGCAATTACTATGTTCCTAACTAGATGGCCAGTCAGTTTTGTTTACTGTTGGCTAAGGATGTTAAAATGTGGTTAACTGACTAGTCGATAGGCACTTCCGCATTCCAACCCTGCTGGGGCTCTTGTACATTTCAAAGGAGGAATGCGGAACTCCACATACAGCCTGGGGCCAGCAGGAAGTCTCGTTGACTCCAGGCTGCATGCGGGTTCCTGCTTTGAAATGCACAAGAGTCCCCAGCGGGGGCTCTTGTGCATTTCAAAGCCATGGAGCCCAGGGTCAGCGGGGGACACTTAGTCCCCTGCTGACTCCAGGTTATGCTGCAGCAGGAAGCCTGGCATCAGCTAGGGACTCCACAGCTGATCCTGGGTTCAGGGGAAATGCCGCGCGGAGCCCGGGGTCAGCTGGGCAGCTTCCCCTTTGAAACTGCCGCCTCTGCCCGTTTTAAAGAAGCAGTGGAGCCCAGGGTCAGCCGCACAGGCGGCTTTTCAAAGGGGAAGCTGTGCAGAGGCCGCTACTTTGAAGTACCCCCCCTTTTCCGGGGGGGGGGGGGGGGGGAGGAGGAGGAATCGACTAGTCAAAATACTATCCAATAAGCAAACGCTTATCAGATAGTCGACTAGTCTTTTACATCCTTACTGTTTGTTCCTCTTTTGTATTTTTGAATTATGCTCCAGTTAACTATTAATATTTTTAAAATGTCCCTTGAGCTTTAGAAAAACAACATTAAAATAATATCCCCTACCTGTGGATTTCAGAGGAGGAGGAATCGACTAGTCAAAATACTATCCAATAAGCAAACGCTTATCAGATAGTCGACTAGTCTTTTACATCCTTACTGTTTGTTCCTCTTTTGTATTTTTGAATTATGCTCCAGTTAACTATTAATATTTTTAAAATGTCCCTTGAGCTTTAGAAAAACAACATTAAAATAATATCCCCTACCTGTGGATTTCAGGGCTCTTCTTGTTTTTAGCTTGATCTTGCTCCATTCCTCTCTTTAGGTATTTTGTAAAGCGTTCATTCAGTGTCATTCCTGAAGACCCAAAGTGATGCTCTGTCAGGGTTTTCAGGGAAGAAACAGCACACAATTAATACAAGTCAGATTTTAGGAAAAGACATGTGAGTTCTACCACCATATCTAAAATGGATTCAGAAAATAAACACGTGTGGCCAGAGGACACACGGATGAAAGTCAATCAGCCTAGCAAAAGTGGAGGCCTCTCCCCTGAAATAAAAGTAATGGTTCCAGTTTGTGTCAGTGCTGAATTCTCTCTCAAATCTGTTTAATAAAAAACATATTAAAACACAAACTAAATGTATGCAAATACATTAGAATACCCCAAATATCTGCAGATCCCATGTCAGTCTGCTGTAAGTCTTGCTTTTTGCTGTTTCAAGGATAGGCAAGACCCTCTTCATTCCTCCCTGATGCACAGCTAAGTGCAAGAACTTGGTGGAAAACATCCCACATGGCTGCTGTTCTACTCATTTGTCCTGTTGCTCAGCAATTGTCTGGGGTAACTAACTAGCATGAATGAAATATGTGTATGGCTTGTCAACAGTGTTCCAAGGAACAGAGAGTGGAGTGGAGTAGCAAGGGATAAACTTTCAACCAAGAATGCATGGACACTAGACTCACCTTTTACATGGTGAACTATAGTCACTATGTGCTGAGCAAACAATTCAGAAGGGCTTCGCTGAGACTGAGCTGACTGAATATGGTGGAAAATGGAGCGGAACTCCTGTTCTTTTTTGTTGCTGTGCACTAAGTCACGAGACAGCTTTCTCTCTTGCGCCAATAAACCGCTTGGACTAGAAAAGAACACACATTTTAAAAATATAACCATCATAAAGGCAATTTAAACAGAAGGAGCTTTCAAACGGCAAGTTAACAACCTCCAAAGGAACAAACTGGACTTATTCCAGCCACTGACTTTTTGAAGTGCATCTGCAATACAAATTTCAATTATTCTGTTTTTGCCCCTAGGGATGTGAATGACTAGTCGACACACTAGTTGACTAGTCACATCCCCCCTTGCTGTCTCTTATCAGAAAGAGGCAGCAAGGAGAGTGGGAGGGGCACTACGTGGAGCCCGGGGCCAGACCCTGGGCTCCATGTGGCGCTACTACTGCTTTGAACCGCTGCATGCAGCCCCCCGGGGTCAGCTGGGGAGTGCCGGGCTGCACATGGCTTCTCAAAGCAGCACTACCATATGGAACCCAGGGTCTGCCACTTTGAAATGCCATATGCAGCCCAGGGGCCCCAGGCTGCACGCGGTGTTTCAAAGCAGCAGCAGCACCACATAGAGCCAAGTCCCCAGCTGACCTTGGGCTCCATGCAGCACTGCCCCTTTGAAATGCTACGGAGAGCACGGGACCAGCAGGTGACTACTTGAGTCCCCCCATTGGCCCCACGCTCCCTGCAGCTCTGTCGCCTTTGAAGTGTAGCAACAGCCCTGGGACTGTTGCTACACTTCAAAGGCGGAGGCACCCTTATCGACTAATCGAATAGTTGATACAAATTGCATCGACTATTCGATTTGCCAATTAATCTAAATTTAACATCCCTATTAGCCCCCTTATATGGCTTCTGAACTAAAGGTTCCTCTTTTTCACCAATGGTCATCACAAACTTGCCTATTTATAGCCAGGTCTTGTTACAATATGCTAAACGATGGGCTGGCTAGCAGCCAGCTAAAGGCAGAAATATATTTTACCTTTCCCTTCCCTCCCCCCTCAACATTTATGGCTAGATTTTAATCTCAGAAGTGAGAAAGAGGACTGGATAAGACCAGGCTCAGATGCTCATCTCAGCCAACATTTATTTTATGCCCATGTGTGTTAAATATTCCCAAACCAGGAGAGGCGACCACAGAAAATGGAAGACAGATCTTCAAAGCTCTGAAAAGGTTGGGTAAGACCTTAATATTGCCCTAGTATAAATCTAAGGAAAGCTGAATCTGTTAGCAACAAACGTGCTTCACCACAATGGGCAATCAGATTCCCACTGAGGATGAGAGAGTAGCATTAAAAAAGGGTTGCTCAGAAATAGGAGAGCTGACTGTCCAGTATTGCTCAACCAGTATCTCAGTTTTTGTTTGTCAGTCAAACCCTTGCCATCACATGATGGACACTTGGATACTCCCAGCCCTACATCCGTGGGAAACAACAACAGTCACCATCACCCTGCTGCAGTACAGAGAGAACTGATTTAAACTGAAGTGATTGAAAGCTCTGTGCAGGAACTTTAATCTTTGATTTTGATCTTGTTTTACATTTGTACTGTAGTATAGTCTTTCTTTAGGAAATAACTCACTAATGAGAATGGACCTTTAGAATAGGTTGATCTGTAACTAAATATAACATGGACACAAACTTTAAAACTTTTTGCTAACCAGGAAGATAGGTAGTATCTAGATTACAGCAATTACATAGCATTACTTATATGTTCAGATTCTTACATCATCAAGTAATCCTACACATTTCTTATCTACTAGATGCTAGGATTTTTACATGTGATTTGTGTCAAGCTGCAGTTGGATGAAAGCCGAAATTTAATAAAATGCACAAGACAGCATTTTAGAATTCTTTTTGATTAACTAAAATTAAATGTGCCATATAAGAAAAAAATTAATCAAAACATATTTAGCATTTAAACCTGACTAAACAAAAGGCAGAACTGCAGTGAGTGGACTGTAAGATCAACATGGTCCAGATTTTCAGAAGATATCTAAAGATGTAATAAATGCCTAGTAGGATTACAAAAGCACCTGATGTCCACTGAAGTTAATGGGAGTCAGGTTTTTAAAGTGCTTAAATGCTATTGTAAACCCAGCAGGCACCTTCATATCTTTGAAACTCAAGACCCATGTTCTTCAAAGTTCTTAGTAGCAGATCTCATTTTCTCCCATCAAGTTTTTATTAATAGATTAGAAGAGGAAAACAAGCTTTTCTACTCTTAATGGATTTTTCATCTTTGAACAAACTAGACAAGATAATTATCTCGCTACATCTGCTAACTACACTGAAACCAAAAGTAATTAAAGTCAATGCTTTCCAGCGCAACAGAAACTGAAAGCACTTGCTGAAAGCATTCTCTCCAGACTAAAAATAATGAAAATATGATACTTCACAGAGTACACAACATTGTTTCTCCCGACTCTGTATAAAAAAGCAGCACCCTTTAACTCACTAAAATTAAACAGGGCTCACTGATGCAGCATTTAAATTATTTTAACAGATTATAGTAAATTCAGGCCTTAACACAGGTTGTCAATTTCAAATTTAATTTTTAACTTTTTTTTTTTTTGTAAAGAACACGTTTTTTAAAGCCTGGTTTTATATATCTGATGCATAGAATTGCTTTAGTAAAAGCAAATCTTGTGGCTTAGAAAAAAAGTTGTTTTTAAAGCACATCCAAACTGCATGATAACACTATAATGATAAATCTAATCACTTGGTTGAATGTTCAAAGTGCTGTTCAGATATTAATCCATAAAATTGTGTTGTATGTCACACGTGATTCGCATACCCTTAGCAGCCATCTTAGCTCCTTTCTCTTCATTCCTCCTGAATTTTAGTGCTCCCTCTAGTGTTCCACAGAGCAAACTGATATTTACTGACTAACCAGCTCTTCTCTTTAGCACAGGGGCAGGGAAACTAAGGACTCCCAGCTTAATTGGATCTGCCTCTTGGCAAGCCTCTGTGAAGCAGTCCCTGAGCCAGGCCAGGTGATGGGGTTTTTTTTTTTTGTTTCGTTTTTTGCTCTCCATTGGTGTGTAAACCACAACTGATTTTTCTCACTGGTGTGTGGCCCTCCACTCCTGCTTTTTTTTGAAGCGCCAGAGCAGTACAGAAAATGTTAAGTGGCCTTTTGAGGCTTCTAGGAGGATCTCATTACAACATTGCCATACACTGAGAAGAGGAATAAAGCACCCTGCAAACAAATTTTTTACACTGTAATGCTTACATTTCAATGTTCTGAGTAGATCTGGAGAGTGGGGAGCAGAATTTAATTACTCTGGAACACGAAATTGTGTGGTCTGAATGAAGGACTGGAATCCACAGTTCTAAACTAGTCTCTTTGCCTGTGTAGCTTAGGGAAAGTCACAAAACTTTGCGCTTCACTTTCCCATTTGCAAAATGGGGATTGATGTGACACCCTCCACATAGGAGAATCATATTGCTGTTAACATTTAGAGATGCATTTGCTCTCTGTGACAAATGACGAGTTAGTAGCTGATTGTACAATACTCTTCATTCAATCTGCCTGTGTTTTAGCGAAATCCATACAGGGATAGGGAAGGGATGAGGAAACAGGCTAGTGAAGCCACTACCTAGGATTTCACTTAAAGGCAAACCCTTACCGTGCAAGATCTTCATCAAAGGAATCCATTCGGACATTGACCTGGGCCTCCCGGGTAATGGAAAAGGAGGATTTGCCAGTGGCTAAACCATCTCCTCTGGTTCCTGGCTTTTCCCGACTCTCAGAGGCCTTTCTCAAAGGTGGTGAAGCACTTTTTTCCTGACTTGCTTTGTAAGCAGTCACTCTAAAATTCTTCTCAGGAACAAACCCCCTGTGACCAGCTTCTGCTCTCTTGGATGCTAGCTTGTCTTCTTTTTTAGATCTTTCAGAATATGGATCCTCCTCCATTTCCTCAGTTTTCCTTTGCTTCTCCTTTGCAGATGGTAAGAACACTACGCCTTCCCATTTACCTGGCCTATCCTCATCCTGATTTTTGCTTGAGGTTGCTACCACTTTAGACATGAATTTGGGCTCATCATCAAATTCTGAATCCTTTCGGCCCTTTGCCTTGTCTTTCTTATCCTGCTCATCCATCTCCTCTTTGCCATAATGACCTTCCTTGTGGAACTCTGCCATCTTCACCTTCTCAAAGTCATCACGAAGCTTATAGCGTTTAGGAGACTGGCTGCTGCGATAAGGCTTTTCAGGGTCAGTTTTGGAGGTGTACGGGTCTGATTTCGTCTTGCCATCTGCTAAACCCAACTCAGAGAAGCTTCCCTTCTCTTTCATTTTGTCCTTTTCAACATTTGTTAGTTTCTGTTCTTTGTCTTTCCCATTCTCAGTCTTCTGTTCTTCCAAATACCTATTTATAAAACACACACATACACACACACACACACATTTAAGCAATTCTCTTAAGTGTAGACAAGAGACTTTAATTCCTAAAATTCAAAGCAAGCAAACAAGTCATAGTCCCTAATAAGTAAGGTAAAATGTAAAGCAGGCTACCTACATTTTTACCTTAGACTACATGAATAAATTCCTAATATATTCAATGAATGTGTTGGAAGATGGGTATGTAAAATGGATGACATGAGGTTCAAGAGCAATGTGGAACAGCAAAAGCTCTTCTTGAGAAAATAAAAAGAGAACCAACTTACCTATATTACTAAGGAAAATATTAAGGTCTTACCCAATCTGTTTAGTCACTTACAAATTTGATTCAGGAGAATTAACACATCAAAATTGTCAACTTGGACTGTTCTGCTTTAAACAACACATTGGAAATAAATGCCTCAAAAGCTACGTCACATTTTGGATGCAAGTTTCCTAGGAAAGCTAAACATTTCATATACTGTAAACACAAATAAAAGCAAAAAAAAAAAACCGTTAATGGGAAAAATATTCCTCCTCTTGGGAGAACAGACACTTTAGTACTGGGAATGACAATCGCCCAATCAATTTAAAGTTTAAAACTACGGTGGTGAAAGATTATCAGCACTTATTTCAAGGGGATAGTAGTGGGTTAAGTCTAAAGCACCTCAATACACCATCTCAAAACCCCAGAGTGGAATAAAAACTAGTTCTGTTAATTATCAAAGATTTCTGATGAGATTAACAAAATTTGCCACAAATCTTAAATTAACAGAGACAAATCAAAATGATTAGGAAGCATTTGAAAAAAAAAACCAATAGTGTCCTTTCAAGTGAGATGTTCCTTTCAAATGAAATTAATTAGACACTTGCCAGGTGTTTTGGGCTGCTGACTGAGCAGACTAGAAAGATTTTTTTCCTGATTCCAGTCATATATAAAATATTTCTCAATGCATGTGCATCATGGCTCTCTCAGTGTTTGTATTTTTTTGTTTCTATTAGGGTACACAGTAAGTTGTGTGTAAGTTTATTAAACAAAATTTGTCTTCCTTTGCAAACTTATAACATTTGCTGGAGTCCAAGAGCCACATACCTACCAACTCTGGGACAGATTTCATGAGGAAATCTATTTTGTCTGTTAAACATGACAGTTCCTCCAAAGCAAGCTAACAAGCCTTCTTCAAGTACAGGTTTCATCTGCATCAGTAACTCTTACCCTAAAATCAGGCAGTCCAGCAGTGGCGGCACCAACTGAATGTTAATACTCTGAAGTCCATTTAAAATTAGGAAACACCCAAAACTACTTGACCATAAGGGAATATACAACCCCAAATATATAGGTTACATGCAGTGATTTAGGAATATGACTATTTTTAGACTAATAAAAATCATATTTCTGGAAAAGCACCCTGAAGGCTTTAAAAATGTATAAAAAACAACCTTCAAGCTAAGAAAGCAATTCTGGAGTATCTTTACAACACTGAAAGTTATGAAGTTAAGAAAACAAAAACTAGATAACTACTTCCTATAATGTAGAATCAGGACGAGCAATCAATAAGAGCTACACATATACTTCCCCAGTATCTGGCATGTGAACTGAACATACAGGAAAAATGCTCAACTTACCTCTTTGAGAAGGCTGCCCCCCCAGGAGCTGCTGTTTCCTCCTTCTGCGAGGAACCATAAATTGAACTGATTGTCGTGGGACTTTTACACACAGGGCTCTTCCTCGTTGGGCTTAATCCTGATGAACCATGGTCAAATGAACCCTGATGTGAGCCTGCCTGGAACGAGGCACTGCTTTGTAAAGAGCCACCTAGCTGTGAGGGGTTTGACAATGGAGGACTGGGCTTTTGCAACGGGCTTGGTCGAGGAGAACGGCGTCTCACCACAACAGACTGAAGAGGGCTTTTTAGTGCAGGACTGCGCTCTCTTGGGCTAAGGTCAGGCACAGCAGATGCTCTTGACACTGAACTTGTGCTGTAAGTGCTCATGTCTTGCCACGGCTTTGATGCCTCAGACGACTTGACATCTTGAGCAGCTCCTCCTGAAAATTGCTGATCCTTTGAATCATCCCCTTGATTATCTCCTGCAGCCTGTGATGCTCGCGTATCCTTGGAAGAGGATTTTTTTTCCTTTATGGACCTACGCTTGGAAGACTCAACTCGGCTGTGGTTCGAGGAAGACCGGGAAGATGAAGACCTCCTTGACCTATCAGAAGATGACTTATCAGAATTTCTAGAATGGCTTCTTGATCTTGGTGATGGAGACCTTCTCTTTGGTGATCGAGAGCGGGAACGCCCTCTACGAGGGCTGTAGGCTTGGCGATAATTTTGCCAATTTGATCTGTAATTTCCATAGCCTCCTCGGTTATACTGGCCCCATGGATAAAATCCTCGGTTCCGCCCACGGAAATAATATGGTCTTCTGTACCCTCTATTGTGACCTCTGAAATCCCGGCTCTGATAAACTCTTGGGTGGTTCCTTTCTCTGTTGTGAGATGGAGAATATGATCTTGAACGGGACCTAGAACTGAAAAAAAAAAAAAAAAACAGTTTTTGGAAACTTCTTTTCTTCAATGCAGCCTTCTAGTCGAATAAAAGAGGTTTATATGTTATTTTACTGGGTTTGTGTAGGGTTCACAACCCCTTAAGTGATTTTTTTCTCTAATCATATGAAAACTATAGCTTCTCTCCCAGTGAAAACTGTTGCCCCTCCACACACAAACCTGGTGGTAATTTAATGACATCTGCTCTTACAGGTGACCAAACTTCTTAGAATCATGGCTGAGACCACAACAGGGATACATTTGCTTGGTCTTGGATTCTTGTGGCTGGTACCCACCTTCAGTGGCATATCTCTTACGTATCCAGTCTTCACAGTTCAAAGAGAGCCAAGGTT